ACCAAAATATCATTTTGGCTAGTTATAAGGTGATAATCATAGCAGTATTACTAGCAAAAACATGAATAAGTAATTAAAAATATTAATTTTTTTAAATAACATCTTACTAAAATATTAATATTTTAATATTTGATAATTAATATTATTTACAAATTTTTACACATAATTTACAAGTCAATTTTTAATATATACAAATTTTTGAAAGATGGTTTATTAAGTTTGGAAGAAGACATAATTTATCATACTATTTTAATATGCAAATTAAATTACCTATAAAGTTTTGAAAAATTAATTGTGCTGTTAATATTTAAAAGATGGTTTACAAATTTTGAACTAATATTTATAAATAATAATATTTAAATATTTAAATATTTCAACAAATTTTTATTAAAAAAATATAATATTTTTTTAATTACTGACCAATGTTTCCAGCTTTGGTGATTTAGTAATCACCCAGTGGCGGGTCAAAGTTATTAGTTAAAATAATATTTTTATATTTTATCGTAAGAAATAATACCAATCTATTTGCATTTATTTATAATTTAAGGGACTTACTCAATATTAATTTTTTTATAATATCTTATTGTGTAATTTTTTGGGTAACTTTTTGTAATTTTTTAGATCATTCCATGTAATGTTTTTGGATCTAATTGTCAAATTAATGAATATTTAATAGAGGGGCAATATTGTTCTTTAAAAAAATTATTTAAAAATTCCCCCATCCAGGTGCCTTGCCCTCCTAAAAAAAATGAAAATAAATTAAGTCTTTAACCAAAAAAATTTCTGCAGCACATTCATGACAAAAAAAGAATGGGGAAAGTAACAAGAATGACAATAAGTATTTAAAATCCAACAATATCAGTTTTTCTAGGCATCATATGTATATACATACATTCATACATACATACATACATATACATATATAATATGTGTGTACATATATATTTACATATAACACCAGAAAATCAAACTAAAAGAATGTTCTTTTTTGTCCTAGTTAAAAAGCTTCACAGACCCACCCAACGTTTGAACGACTTCATCCATAAGAGTGTTCTCAATCTTTTAAATTTTGATGGACGCCAAAAAACTTTTACATCATGGCAAAACACTCAATCATAAGGAGATTTCAAATTTGCGGCTGCTGCTTCATCTTCAGTCCTAACTCCTGGTGAAGAAAAGATTAGGATTAAATGGAAAATTGGCACTTAAACTATAAGTCCAGAAATGTCTGAGAACTTAAACTCATTTTTAGTATAATGTTTTCTTTTAAATTTTAAAAACAGTGCAATGTTGTTCTCACAATTAACAAATTAGTTAACTTGAATAACCATTAATTGATTAGAAAATAACAGAAAAGAGCTTAAAAATAACATACAAGGACCAAAAAATTACAAAAAAGTACCAATGAAAAATTCTTGATCCTTTTATGTAATTTTTATGTCATTTTTTGTAATTTTTTTTTGTTAAATAACAATCAAAGTTAACATTTGATAACAACAGATCATAATACATCATTTTAAAATGTTAAATGGAAACATTACATCAAAAACAAGTTTAGAGTCTTGGATGCTCTTGAACCTATAATTTAGGGGTCAATTTGCCATTAAATCCAAAAGATTAATAACATGAATTCAGCTAATACTTCAATTAAAGAAAACCTTTTAAGTTCTCATTAATAATTGATCAACGAAGAAGCAAATTCAGTATAAACCTGAATTGTGGTATATGAATAGTGGATAATGAATTGTTCATGTCGAACTTTGTCATGGTCATAACGGTGTTTGCGCTATTCAATACCGATGTCTAACAAGTTTCTCTCCCTCCCTGTGTGTGTGTGTGTGTGTGTGTGTGTGTGTGTGTGTGTTCAGTAGCAAGTTCAACTTATAGACCCTCATGTCCTCGTAGCGCTCAGTTGTTTCAATTTTTTCTTTAAACCATGTATATTTATTTATGTTATAATTATATTATAACATAAAATAAAAATTGCTTCTGTGTTGAGTGTTGATAAGAAATTAATATCACTTTTAGATAATATTAATAATAATCTTCATTATAGTAAAACCATATTTAGGGGTTTAATATAATGCAAGAATATTGAATCAAAATAATTACAGATAAGTTAGTATATATATTAGACTAAATATAAATAACTCTGCTGATCAAACTTTAGGCATGTGACCACCAAAAATCATTTTTTTTAAAAGGCCCTCTTATAATGCCTAAAATCCCAGCCTTTCATATATTTGATGAATTAAATAAAATTTTAGGCATTAGAGGGGGTAGCAGATAGATTAGTATATGCATCAAATTCTATTTAAAACTAACCCCCTTAATTTTGGAAAATTAGATTAAATTTCTCTTACCACTAACTGAAATGAAAGGTTAAAATTTAAGGCATTAGAGGGGGCAGTAGAGAGGACAGTAGGCACCCCAAATCTAGTTTAAAAATAACTCCTGAATTTAAAATTTTGAATATAAACCCTTTGCCGTTAAAATCACTTTCAATTTATGAACAAAATTTGCCATGCCAGACAAATCATAATAATTGACATTAGTCATATATGAAGGATTTTTTTTATTAATGTCATTATATTGAAGAAAAAACTGACATTGATTAGGGACAAATTAGCCATTTTTTTTTGGAAAAATCACATCCAACACCTCTCAAGGGAATTAAGCACAGATAAGGACCAAGGGAATTAATCCATTTAAAAAAAAAAGTCATGTTCCCATTTTAACAATAATCAATTTTGTATTGGTTCTTATATGTGATTAATTTTCTTAGAGAGAGGGCTGGATATGATCTTCCTTTTTTCTTTCCCATCGTCTGCTTCCCAATAATTGAGGTAAGTTTTGTGGAATGGGGCGGCTAGTTTTTCTAAACTTTAGATTTGTTGTTGCACATCACCTTCCTATATATTTTTTAAATTTAAAATTGTCATGATAACATGTTGACAAAATTTGTCATGTTAGATAAATTATAGTACTGGGCATCTGACGTGTATTTAGGATATTTTATTGATTTCATCTTATCAGAAAACCTTAGGATCCAATGTTATCCTAAAGGGCAAATTTGTTTTATAAGTTTTCAGCCAAGTGCAACTAGTATCTTTAATTTTAATTAGTACAATGTTATTCTACAAATTTAAAAAATGGGGCAATGTTATCCTATATTAATGTTTGATCCATGTTGATTGTTAGTTGAACAATTCTGACAAAGGTTGCAGGAACAATGTTAAATAGTGGTTTGTATTTCTGTATTTGACTTGAGGCCTTTTTTGAGATTGATTAACTACAAAATCAACTCTACTCAAACACTCCATGGGCTTGTAGTTATTTTATCCATGAACAAGTCTAGATATGTGTTCATAAGCAGGCTTAAGCTTGCGCAAGCTTAACCATGAGAAATACAAACTTGATCAGATTTGTCCACAGGCAACATAAACTAGCCCAAGGTGAGAGGGACGAATCCAAGTGATTGACTTAGACTAAATATTTGTGGATCATTTTAGCAAGACCACTTTACCATCAGCAAAAGATTATACTTGCTGTTCTATAGGAATTTCCTTAAGGCATCCCTTACGGCTAATCAACTATAAAGGGAAAAATTGCTCTAATTGAAATTTGGGAATACCATTTGCTCCTTCAAACAATCTCTTAGGACATAATTGCTCTTCATCCTCAAAATTATTCAACTAATTAATGGTTAACGTTAGTCAAATGTTACTATAGCGAAATACTGCACCTTTTCTAAAACTTCTAGAATAGCACGGTGTCAATCTGTCAAAAATTAAGGATATCAATTGCATTTGGTGGAAAACTTTTATGGAAAGTTTACCCTTTAATCCATGTTAATTTATTCGTTCAAGATGTATATCATCTTTGAGGATTTGTGATTTGAGCCATTTCTATCGGAGTGATTTAGCGTGTATGTCAACCAACTCAAAGTTAATTAACAGATCTAACGCCCTCAATTTTTCAAGAAGATGGAACCCTATGAAGAAGGAAAATGACTAATTTAGCCCTCATCAAATCACATTGCTTTCTAATAGGATGAAATCAATAAAATATCCTTAATACACATCAAATACCAAATACTATAATTTGTCTGACATGGGAAAACTTTGTCAACAGGTTATTAACAATAATCCTGACCGCAAGGGGTTTATACTTTATACTAAAAAATTGAAAAGTGAGGAAGTTAATTTTAGATTTTAAAAATTTAGGAAGGTGATAGGTAAGGACATATCTAAAGTTTAGAAAATTATTTATATGTGGAGGCCATGCGAATCACTAGAAGATCTTTTTATATTAAAATAATAATAATTAATCTCAGTGATTAATCTCATAGATCTCATCAATTATTACTCCACTAACTGAAGCCACAACGATAAGTATAACAAGGAGTGAAGGGAAATATTAGACAAGCATAATTAAATATGAAATATTATTTTTATTAAAATATCTTATATTTTGAGATAACAAATTATTTATAATTATAAATTGGGATTGAGGGAGTATTAAATGAAGGATATATTTAAAAATTTATATTTTGTGTTTTAAAAAAAGATAATAAAATATGTTTAATAAACTTTATTAGCATACGTAATTTTGTCAAAAATTGTTTTATAAACAGGAATGGATGGAGTAGAAAATTTCTTATAAAAAAAAGGGAAGAGAGTAATAATTAAGTTGAAATAGAGTTAGACGAGCTTATCAATATATTAATAATGTCATCATTATCGGTGTAAACTGAGATTCCCATGTGGTGCACCATGATATTTGTTGTTGCTTTCATCATTATTGGCGTAATTAAAGCTTAATTATTGGAGCGCATTGCAGCTTCTGTCTTACACAATAATACTTAATTTAAAATTCCGCCTCTCCGGCTCTCCTTTGTCATTGATGTTGCCCTTGTAGAGGGGATCGAACATAAACCTCTTCATCATTGCTTAAGTGTTCTCACACTAAACTTTCCCAACCACCATACAAACACACATATGGCGGCAAAAAACTCTGAACCCTCTGATACTCCCACGTTCCTTAAGGAAGTTGAATTAACCCAAGAAAACAAGGACCTCATTGCCAACTTACCTAGCGATACATTTTGGAAACCGCTTACCATCCATCAATATGATGGTTTCTGGCACACCACAAAACAGTTGCAAGGAATCCTCAATAGCCAAAATCACTTCAAAGCTTATGACTCTGACATTCTTGTCACCTCACCAAAATCTGGCACCACTTGGCTCAAAGCCCTAACCTATGCGATTATCAATCGCATGATCCGTTACCCAAATCCAAATATTGAAAAGAACCAATCTTACCCTCACCCTCTCTTCACTGCTAAACCTCATGATCTTGTACCCTTTTAGATATCAATCTCTACATCCATGAAAACATCCCTGATCTGAGCTCGTTCCCATCATCAAGGCTCTTTGCAAGCCATATGTCATACATTTCATTGCCAGTATCTGTGAAGCTCTCAAGGTGCAAAATCGTGTACTTGTGTACAAATCCTAAGGATATGTTCACATCGATGTGGCACTTCATCAGAAAGTTAGCATCACAACCCCAAGGGCCCATCACCTGGTCAGTTGAGGAGTCATTTGAGAGATTTTTCGAAGGAAGGAATCCTTCTGGCCTATTTTGGGATCACATTATTGGATACTACAATTAGAGTTTGGAGAGGCCATATAACGTAATGTTTTTGACGTATGAGGAGTTGAACAGCGAGCCAGTAAGGGTTTTGAAGGACTTTGCTGGATTTATGAGGCATGGATTTACTAAGGAGGAAGAGAGTGGTAATATTATTAATGATATATTAGTTTTGAGAATTTGAGCAACTTGGAAGTGAATAAGACTGGAAAATTGTTGACTGGGGAAGAGAATAACATCTACTTTAGACGTGGAGATGTTGCGATGGGGACAATTTTCTCACATATGAGATGATTGAAAAACTTAATGTTATTACTCAAGAGAAGCTGGGGAAACATGGCTTGAACTTTCAGATCCACAAATCTTTGATTGAAAACCTACTCGACCATAAATAACGAGGTATGCGCGAAACTTTAACTTAAAAGTGTAGTTTCTATCACTTTTTAAGTATGGGGGTAAGAGATTTTTTAGTTTTACACATATAAATTTTATTTTTTTTACCCTATTCTATTTTATTTCACTCTTCCTGTTAAACTGTTAAAATTCACATTTTATAAGTAGTATTTAAAATATGTTAATTTAAAAAACATGCATGTTTATGCAAAGTTGTATAGCTTTTCTTTTATCCAGGGTCTCTTGACCTAATTTTTTCTTTCCATGATGCAGGTGAATACTTGAATTTCTTATCGATTATCATTGTGTTCAGCAATAAATGACTATAGTATACCTGCAGGGCATGTATGTTTCTGAACTTTGAAGTCATAGCCGGCTTCATATGTTAATTAAGCTTATCTTCAGGAACGAATATTCTTCACGGGTGCCAAACTGAACATGAAGAAGAAGCATTTCGCGATAGCTTTTGATAATTGATTATTCTCTGATAGTGACATGTAAAAGAATGATTTTTTCCTAGTTAAACAGCTTCAAAGACACACCCAACGTCTGAACAGCCTCATCCATAAGAGTGTTCTCAATCTTCTAAATTTTAATAGTTAAACATCATGAGAAACACTCTATCTCTAGGGAGATTACAAGTTTAATTATTTTTTGCCGCTGCATCTACTTCTTAATGTTCAGCATAAACCTGGTTTCAAAAGAGACTTGTGATGAGGAAAGGAAGTATATAAATTAAGGTTCTTTGCTTACAGTTAATTAATTGCTAATTGGATTTTAAAATATTTAATATTTATATTCAATGTAATACAAAAATACACAGAAATTATTACTCAAACCTGTTGCTCTTTGTAGACCAGACGTTCTAAAGAATATAAAATGGAAATTTAAAACTTCAAGCCATGTATCCCCAGCTTCTCTTCAGTAATATCATCAAGTCGTTTGATCATGTCCAGTGTGAGAAAATTCTTGGAATCTCCAACTGTTCCACGTCTAAAAAAATTCTTACTTTTCACCCCGGAGGACACTTTTCCACTTTTATTCACTTCCAAATTGCTCAAATTTTCAAAACTACAGAGCTTCAATATGTCACCCACAACATCATTTTCTTCTTCTTTAGAAAAACCATACCCAATAAACTCAGCTAGTTCCTTCAAAACCCTCACCGGCTTGCCCTTTAGATCCTCAAACATCAAAAACATTACCTTCTCTGGTCTTTTCAAACTCTCCTTGTAATAACCCAATATGTGATCCCAAAACGGCCCGAAAGGGTTCTTTCCCTGGCAAAACTTCTCAAACAAATCCTCATCAACCACGTTGCTCGCTGCTTGGCTTTCTGTTTTGAAGAACGGACTTGTAAAGTGCCAGTACGAGACAAGAACGTCCTTAGGATTTCTGCACAAGTACACTATCTTACATCTCGATGACTTTACGGACTCCGGCAATGGTAAGTATGGCAGATGGGCCGCGAAAAGCCTCGGCGATGAGAAGGAGCTCAGATCTGGGTTGTTCTCGAGATAGAGACGGAGCTCCAAGAAGGGCACAAGATCATGAGGGTTGGTAGTGAGAAGAGGGTGGGTCGGGTTTAGATTCGGGTTCGGATAATGGGTCTTGCGATTAAGGATTGAGTAAGTGAGGGCCTTGAGCCAGGTGGTGCCAGATTTTGGCATAGTGACGAGGATGATGTCAGAGTCATGGGTCTGAAAGTATTTCTGCAAGTTGAGGGCTCCTTGGATGACCCTTTTGTTGTGCCAAAAGCCTTGGAATTGGTAGAGCCGATAGATCTTCCAATACGGTTCAGAAGGTAGGGTTGCTATGAGATCTCGGCACTCTTGGGATAGAGCTTCATCATCTTCATCCCAGAACTTGGGGATAACGACTGGAAGACCAGAGGCTTCAGATTGTTCTTCGGACATGGTTATATTGTTGTTAAGGAGATAAGAAATTAGATTCATGGAGATATTCATGGGTTATATATAATGTTTCAGATGAGAGGATTAGCAGTGGAGATGGGTGGACCGATGAGCCACGCACCTAACTTTTTTGTTTTTTCTTAAAACGTCGAAGTTATATATGTTTGGCCCCACTAAAATATTTTTTTGTATGTATTTAATGACAAACATAATATTTATTTTCATTTTATTAAATATAAAACTTATATATAAAAAATTGAAAAAATTTAACATATACTATTGGGAAAGTTTCCAATTTTAATTGAGGGCATATAAATGTAATATACACCCACCTTGTTTCTGTGGTTTGCCGTTGAGCTTTGAAAATTTAGTGCTACCGCCCATCACCATTCAAGCAAAGCAATACGGTAACTGTTCTAAATTTTCATCTTGTTTCGTTTGTGTATGCAGTTCTCTTTTTCTTTATTTTTTTTCTCCTTTTTGTTGATTCGAAGAAGTTGGCTTGGCTGCAATCTCATGATCTTAGGCCATGCAATTAAGCGAATAGAAGGATAAGGTTAAGGTAAGCCATTCCAGTCTCCATGTACTTTGCTTTTTCAATGTTTATGATTTTATTGTGCAATTTATGTTATAATTTGCAATACCATATATATATATATATATATGTATGTATATAATTATCCAATCTGTGTTTTGATCGATATTCTAGTTTTTTTATTCATTCTAATATTTTACATACTATAATTTACAATCCATAGTTTTTTAGGATTGGAGGAGAAGCACCTTAGTTCATATTTACAAAAATAAAGGAGGTATTCAAAATTGTGCTAGCCACAAAGGGATTAAACTTGTGAATCATATAATGAAATTATGAAAAAGAATGATTGAGCACAGATTGAGATTGGAAACTAGTATCTCTGAAAATTAGTTCGGCTTCATGCCAAGTAGGGTGACTATAGTAACGATCTATCTACTAAGGAGATTAATGGAAAAGAATCGATACAAAGGTAAAGATTTACATATAGTTTTTATTGATTTAGAAAAAGCTTATGATCGGGAATCGAGAGAAGTACTTTGGAAAGCATTGAAAAAGAAGGGTGTCCAGGTTGCCTATATTCGAGCTATACAAGACATGTATTGTAACATCCTAAAAATTTTAAGACTCAAATTTATTTAAAAAAATAAATAAAAATAAAATAAAATATCTATAATTAAATTAAAATTTAGAATAATTTAATAGAGGCCCAGAGTTTGAATTTTACTAAGAAAAAGTTTGGTTTTATTTGATTTTTAACTATGGAGAAAATTACCAAAGTTGACCCGGGCTTTGTGCAATAATAAAAAATGTTGGGCCCTTTCTTGTAATTTTCCCCAAAATTTTTGACCAGCAATTTAAAGGCCAAAATTGATGCAGAAACGCAGAAATTGAGTTGGAAAGGAAAGGAAAGGAAATGTATGAGAGGGAGAGAGGAAGAAGAGAAGAGAAAGGGAGGGAGTTAGGCTTGGATCTAGGAGTCTTTGCGACCGTTGCGAGCTCGGCTACACGATAGGTAAACTCCCTACTTCAATCCTCTTCTCTTTCTCTTGATTTTCTTCAATTTTTGGAAGAGAAAATTTTTGGATTTTGATCCCAAAGGCTTTATTCTTGTAAGCTTTTGTTTCTTTGGATTCTAGGGAGCATGTTTTGAGTTTCTATATAGTGATCTAATGTTTTGAGTGAATAATTGGATGAAAAGAGGTGTTTTGGGCACAAAATAAACCTTGAGAAATTGGGTTTTTGCTCCTCAATGGTTTAAGCCTATTGATTTAGTTATAATTTTGCTATTTGAGCCCAATAAGATTTAAATTAAGGTTTGGTTTTCATTATAAGGGCTAATGGTGAAAGTTGGTGGCACTAAGTAAAGGTTTTTAATTGATTAAAAAATTATATAAATTGAAAATTAGCCTAGTGATGGCTAATAAATGGTTTTGGTGGTTAAGTGATACTATGTGAATGGTTGGTTTAATATATGGACCATTAGGGTGGAGTATGACTCATTGACCTAAGTTGTGTGGTATAAGTTATAGTCTTCATTAATGCTATTTGTCATGATAAGTGATGTGGATCACTTATATGTTGTAGAAAATTGTTGGTGGAACTTATTGAGAAGTAAGGAACAAGCCGAGCCCTATTTTGTACAAGGGGAACCCTTTTAGTACCAAAGGGTTGAGGTAACAGGGGAATTTATATTTCTTATTACTTTGTTTTAGCTATTTTTGAATAAATATTACTAGTTATCATGCATTACATGTTTTAAAAGATTAAATGTGCTTTATAAGGGGTTATGGGGTACTACTTTGATTATAGTGCAAATATGTTTTCTAATTGTTTAATAACAATGTTTTTATGAAAATAGATTTATAAATATTATACTACTTTAGAGTGTTGAATGGTCAATACTCAGGAAAGGTAGACAAGAGTAAAAGGCATGATCTCGGTGGGAGTTCACCAATGAGAAGGTGTGGATTTTTGATATTCTATGGCACACTGTCAGTACTCAGTGTTGTCTTACGTATTGTGGGCTCAGTGCACTAAAGTGGTTAGTGTATTGAGTGTTCGACACCTCTCAGTGGGGGAGGGAATCCGACATATGAAGTGTGAGGTTGAGTGCCTAGGCCAAGGTAGCCCTCACATGGAGAGTAAGTCGGGCTGGCTCTGGGAGGGAGTTAGCTTTGACTGCTCAGGATTCACGTCGAAGGGGCATAGGCGGTTCGGTGGATTAGATCATGCCTTAAATTATGTTTTGTGCCTGTAGAGGTACAAGTAGGTATAAGGTTTACCTGCGAGTTAAAGAGTGCCAAGGGGCATTCTGTTGGTCATGAAAGCCCATACCGGCCTAGGTCATGCATTCATGCATTTTAAATGGCTAAATTATATACTATGTTGAATTTATTATTCATTTATTTGATTATGGCTTACTTTGTAATAATCAATGTAAATTTCGCTGTTACTGAGACTGTGGTTGTCTCACCCCTTTCTTTTCAATATTCTAGGTCCAGGCGAAGGATCCAGTGGTGGACGGGGAAAGGAGCAAAGCTAGGGGTTTGCTTGTGATTTGTAAAGAACTGCAACCCCTTTCTTTTGAGCAAATATATTGTAATGTATTTAAGATTAGGGTGCCAGTAGGATATGATTATGTGTGTGTGTGTGAATATGTGTGGATTGTGTGCTTGTGTATGAATTTTTGTCTGTTTGCAGACTTGTGGCTAGGAAACTTGGTTATGGTGTGTGGTTTTGATGGATTTACTTAGTAGACCAAGTTTCTATTACAAGCATATCTTTATTTTGATATATATGTGATTTTATAAGCAAATGCAAAGTGGTTGCATTGCAAATGGTGTGCTATGGAAAAACATACAGCTTGGATAGAGAGAGTGGGTGCGTGGGCCCCACAAGGAGCTCTGAGCCAAGTGAAAATGTTTAGCATATGTATTTATATAAATACATGGTATTTGGATTGATTTGTGACCACTCTTGTATGATTTGTGCATTTTGGGGGTTTAGGGTCCATTTTGAGAAATGGCACCCGGGTGGTCAAATTTTGATGTATGGGGGTTTTCCATCATTTGAATGTTCTATCAAGTGTTTTTAATATTATTTGACGTGTCCAAAGTGTTTCCAAGGTTTGTGACCATTAGGATGGGATTTGGACAATTTTGAAAATGGTTTTTACCAAAAAGCTGCACTTTTGCATCCGGGTGTCCAAATCTTAATCCGACCATTGGATTTCTCTAAAATTTGGGTCACAAGTAAAACCTTTTATAAGCTTCGTGTGGGCTTTGGAATCACGTCGATCGGATATCGGACGGAGAAACGACGCACTCCGGAATTTGGTCTGGAGGTGCTGTCATGACAGCATTAAATTGCTGTCATGACAGCTACAGTATTGATTTTATAACCTGCACAAAATTCAATCCGTCTGTTGGATCTTTTTAAAATTTAGTATGCTAATAGTATTCTTTAAAAGTGACATGTGGGCTTTGGAATCACTCCGATCGGAGGTCAGATGATGAAATGGTGCACTCCGGAAATTGGTCCGGAAGTGCTGTCATGACAGCTTTTTAGCTGTCATGACAGCAAAAATAATCAAATTTTTAACATGTCTAATTTTAAATCCACCGTTGGATCTTTTTGAAATTTGGTATACTTATAGTACCCTTTGAATGTGACGTGTGAGCTTTAAAATCACTTTGATCGGAGGTCGGATGGCGGAACGACGCCTCCCAGAAGTTGACTCGGGAGGGTTGTCATGACAGCAATTTAAATGCTGTCATGACATATCTTTTTATTTCTCTTTTGTCTAACTTGCTTCCGTGCGCTATAGTTAGAACCTATAATTTTTTTTAAGGTTTTAAATGTTTACTTTGCAATCGTATATTTGCTTAGTGATTTAAATGGTTTATTTCCTAAGTTGGTTTTAGGATTAACTCCTTAACCACACTTAGTTTATTTGAATTGTGTGATTTTTGGATAACACTCGGGGCAAGTGTTACATGTATAAAGGGGAAACTACTAGTATAAGAATGTCTGGTGGCAAAATAAAAGACTTTGCTATAAATATTGGACTACATCAGGGATCATCTTTGAGTTTTTATTTGTTTGATCTAGTCTTAGATGTTTTGATTAAGCATATTCAAGAGGAAATCCCTAAATGCATGTTTTTTATAGATGATATAGTTCTTATTGTGGACACAAGAGAGGAGATTAACTGTAAACTTGAGTTATGGAGAAGGACATTGAGTCAAAAGATTTTTACTTGACTAGGAGTAAAATAGAATATTTATATTGCAATTTTGATAAGAGGTCAGTGAATGGTAATTTGGAAGTGAAATTGGATGATCAAATTATACTTCAAGTGAAAATAGTTTAGATATTTAGGAGCGATTATTCAACATAATGGAAAAATTGATAGAAATATTACACATAAGCTGGATGGTTTAATTGGAGAAAGGCTAAAGGAGTTATCTGTGATTGAAAGGTACCAAATAAACTTAAATGGAAGTTTTATCAAACTGCTATAAGACCAGTAATATTATATGGTACTGAATGTTGACTTTTAACGGGATAGCAAGAGCATAAAGTTGGAGTAGCTAAGATGAGAATGTAGAGATGAATATGCGGACATACACATAAAGACAAATTAGAAATGAGTGTATACGAGAAAAGTGGACATCGCACCTATTGAAGAAAAAATGGTAGAAAATTGTTTAAGGTGGTTTGGACATGTACAAAGAAGACCACGGGAGGCATCTGTGAGTAAAGTGAAACAAATAATTTTAAGCCCTATCAAGAAGGATAGAGGAAGGTAAAAGAGAACACTTTTAGAAGTTGTTGATCAAGACCTCTTAATTAACAATATTTCTCAAAGCTTCATAATGATAGAGCATAATGGTGTCATATAATTCATGCAGCCGACCCCACCTAGTAGGATAAGGCTTGTTGTT